TCTAGAAAAACAAGACTTTAATATTGTGGAAACAGCTGCATTTTAACCAAATACCAAAAAAAAAAAAAAGCCCTCATCAATCAAAATAATTTAGCAGCTTAAACTCTCAAACAGTGTTTTTTCTGCTTGATTTGGGGAATATGATGTCACAATATAACACCAGGTCTTTAACTGGGTACCTCACTCCCCAACCCACAGTGTCTCAAGTGCAAATATCTGTTCCATGCAAAAGAGAATCAGAGATATCTCAGTTCCAGGATGAGATATTCCTCTTTTCTTCCTTTTTAAAGGAGTCTGGAGAGTCTCAAACTTTAGGCAGATTGGGTTGGAGGTTGCAAAACCAAGCTTAAACTGAGAAAGATCAGCTAAAACAAAGCCAGTGCATTTTCTGCCCATCCTCAATTTCACCTCATTGAAATATTTCCTAGAAAAGGAGCAAAGGATCAAAGTTCTGGCTGCAACAAGAGGAATTTCACCCAGAAGATGGAAAACCTCTGCTTAAAAGAGGATTTATTTACAGAAACACTAGAGCAACTCCAAAAAAAGTCATTAAAATGCACAAAGTGATTCAAAATTCATCCCAAAAGAAACTTTGCAACTATTAACAGACACATCTATATTTAGGAACTTTTGTAACAGATTATATTAACAGGAAACCCAGCCTCATGACATGAAGCAGGAGCAAATCCTTCTAGTTTGAAATTAAAACTGAAATTAAGGCTGAAACAATTTCAAGGAACACAGGTGAAACTCCAGCCTCAGAGCTGGAAAAAACAACTGTGACAGAACCTTTCCTGGGAATCAATAACAGTGACTATACCTGGAGAACAATCCCAGATATATCTGACAAATATTCCCTACTAAGGAGTTCCAGCATTTTACAAGCACTGGATAACTGGCAGCGATCACACCATAATCCACTTTAATTCACAGCAGAAGGTTGGGTTTATTCTTTTCAAGAGGGAAAGTCTTTCTCCAGCCAAAGAGTTCCAAGTAAACCTACAAAACTCCAAAAAACCAAGTCACATTTCAGCTAGAACACCTGCACTTGGATTATTATAATGTGTTTGCCACCCTGTTATGAATTTCTATGTGGAAGTCATTGGGAATTCACTGAAATGCATCCATTTTTTGAAGCAAACTATAACAAAAAAAAGCAGTTGCCTACCTGGGACGCAGCACGAGCAGACAGGAGGGAAGGAGGATGAACTCCCAGAGGATCCAGCCTTTCTCCCTGCTCCCTTATAATGCCACAGCTCCCACCTGGGGGATATTATCCCTTTTATTAACCAACCACCAGCCCTCAGGATGCAAAGGAGGGTTTTGTTCTGAGGCAAATCCAGCTCAGCTGGGGAGCTTCCTGATGGAAGTGGCAGCTTGGGAGGGCACCTGGAAAGCCACGAAACGAGAGCAAGAAGCTCAGGGAGACTCAAGGTGTTGGTGTAGGGTGGTTCTGATGATGTTTCTTTGAGCAAAAGAGACAAATTCCCCCAAAAAATATGGAAATAAGTGCTAATCTCTGGAATATCTGAGGCAGGGATGCAAAGGCATGAAAAGCAGCTGAAGAGAGGTGTTTTAATGGCCTTGGAATGGTTGCAGTTATTGAGAGCAGCTGCTCTCCTGATTATTACCCTGAGCATTAATTGTCTCACTCTAGAGTCAAAATGTTCCAGTGCAGCTCACAGAGGAGGAAGTTTCATCAAACAAATCTGGGCTAAGAGAAGCAGAAGTGAAAGGGAACAAATATTTTGGCAGGTTTTGTTTCAGCAGTGCTCCGTAAAGAGGCAAAGCACCTCCTCAATCAGTTCATTCTGCCAGGAAAAAGGAGGAAAAACATATCAAAATGAGGGATTATTTTTTAATCCTTCAGGATTTTTACAGTGGGAAATGACTTGGATTAAAGTTTTTTAGCCAAATGGTGTTTCAGGGAAGGTATCTGGGAGCAGGGAGGGAAGGATAAAGCCCAGGATGCAGCAGGTGGAATTAGGGAAGAGTCTGGATGATTTCTGAGCCAACATTTGGGCTCAGCTGGTTCGAGGTACTTGCTTAACAAAAACCACATGGTTTGGTCAAGGGGACAAGCAGAAAAAAAGTAATAATAATAATAATAATAATAATGTAAATAAACAATATTTACAAATATCCCTATTTATTCAAACCACCCCTCACAGTGCTCAACACACTCAAGTTTGCAAGACACTTGTTTCATGTATTTTAATTAAACTTTCGAAAACCCTGCTTTTAAAACAAAGATCAACACTTGAAATTAAACTAAAAGTGTTCAGACCCCGAGAAAATGAGGAATAGGAAGGAGCTGTGTGTTATTTCAGGAACTTGTGTTTCTTCTCTTCCCAGGCAGGATTTTGAGCAGAAATCCCTTTCATGGAGTTTGGGCAATGATAAAATATGTCCTGAGCACAGGAGCCAGCAGGAATTACCATGGCAAACATATTGTATCATTATATCATATCTTATATTCTATATATTGTTATATCATATGATATGTGATATATTATTATAACATATTATATGTAATATATGTGAGCATTTATATTTTAATTCCATTTTATGTCATGATTTATTAAATCTATTAATTATATATTCATATTAATAGTATATTAATTAATTATATTTATATTAATGTGTATAATATATACAATTATACATTGTATATATAATTATATATACATATATATATATATATATGTGTATATATACATATATAATAGATATTACTGTGTGTATAATTATATATAGATATTTATTATATATTATCATAATAGTACTATAAATTAATATATTCCATATGTTATATGCTATTTATAATAGATTTATCATTTTTATATATATAGGATTGTTTACATATATTTAGGATTAGATCTGAGCTGATTCTCCAGACCCTGGATCTTTGCATTGCTTTCACCAGAGTGTTTGTAGAGGTTGTTCCTATTAAAAAACAAATAAGAAATTTCAGCAGGAGAAGAAAAAATTCCTCACCAAATGTCCCTGTCCCACCATGTGGAGCAGGGGTCATGTGGGAAGCAGCACCAAGGCACAACAAAAGGGTTGAGGGTGTTGTGACAGCAGGAACCCAAAATTGTTATCAAAACTCAATATTTAAAAGCACCTGGAGGATTAATAAGCTGAAATCTGCATTTTTTACACACTTAGCACTCCGGATTTGAACTTCATGGCAACCAACTGAGAGTGAACACTAAATTAAGGGCCAAGTTTTTGACAGAGCTGGTGTAGCTCCCTTTGGAATTGGAGGCAGGGAAAGGGCTGCAAAGCTGAGGAGCTGAAGGAGCCTTTGCATTTCCTGGACAGATACAAATACAGATACAGCCTTGCAAAAATTGCCTTCTTGTTATCTTAAAAATTTAGCAGCACTTCTCTGCTGGCAATTTTCTCTTGCATAAAAAAGAAGTCTCAGGGACCCTTCATCTTGTGCCGTGTAAATCAAAGGCACTGGAGCCAAGGACATGATTTATGGTGTTTAAATAGAAGTGATTTAAACAAGGAAGCCAACGGGAAGAGCTGTCTAATTCACCCTGGGAGCGTTGGGGTCAGACCCAAAATTCATCCCAGCACTGGGAAAACATCCCTGGCTTGCAACTGCCTGAGAAAACAAGTAAATCCCAGTCCCTAACCATGGGATTTGAGCTTTATTTCTTAAAAAAAACCCCAGTAATTGGGACAATTTTGTGTGTCATAGTTAATGTGCCAAAGCTGGTGTGAAGTTCCTATGATGAGAGGAGGTGAGTTAATAAGGAAATATATCCAACATGACACCCAGAGGTTCTTTAATGTCATATTTTATTACACAAGATTCAGTTCCATTTTGCTAAATCAGCTTTTTTAAACGTGCCCACAGACCCTCTGGGCCACCACAACCCCTTAGGACTGGTGTGAGTGCCAAAATCTCTCCCTGGCTGCCTCCTCATCTTCCCAGCAGCCAAGGAATGATCCCACTGCATCCCTGAACCATCAGCAGCTCAGAAATGGGAGTTCTGAGCTGGACTAATAAAGTCAATTATGCACCTCTCAGTAGTTCTGAAAGTTTCAGGTTTATTTTTGCCATAGAACAATAGTTTTGGGGGTTTTTTTCACACTCTCCAAATAACTTTAATACTCTTTTAGACAAATCTTTATATAATTCATGACCATGTCTAAAGCACTGAATAATACTGATTCAAACACAAAACAGCTTTAAATCTCTTCATGTGATTTCAAGAAACCTACTGCTCATGGTCACATCAGACTGAGCTCTAGAAATCAAACTCTGCAATCTTTACCAAAACTTTTACTTTTTAGATTATCAGCACTGCTTCCTGGAGGGGTTTGGATGGGGGCAGGATTGCAGGAGCTGACCTGACTAAAATTGCAGTCAGGCCATGAGTTTCTTTACGTAATTTGAACAGGCCAATTTTTAAGTGAACGGGGATCAAACCCCCAAGCTCGGTGTTACCACCACCCTGCTCTAACCAACTAATATTGCAAATATCAATATCTCTGTTAAAATATTTATTAAAATATCACGAAAAGCAGCCACTAAACCAACTGATGCTCATCCCTCCTCTCACAGGCACAAGGAAAATCATGTTTTCCAGTGTCAGTGTGAAGTAAGATAACACACAGGTACCCCCAAAAGGCCAAGCAGTGGAAGGAGCTCTGGAAAATTTATCCCAAAGTCCAGAACACTGGACTTACAAGGGAAAAACTCCTAGCAGTGCTGCAAAAAGCACCTCCTGTTCTCTTCAAGGCTTTTTTATCTTTGCCATCCTCCCCCCAGGCCCTCCTCTGCAGCCTGTGTGAGTTTATCCCTCCTCGTTCCACAGAGACTGTGGCGAGAGGAGAAAACATCCAAATCATCTTTGGGAAAGGCGTTTTTTTTCTTAGGCAGGAAAGGCTTCCTAAGCGAAAACAAGGCCTAATCTCCTCGTTACAAATCTTCTGGAAGGGCATCTGCGCTCGATGGAAGACACCTTCTCCCTCTAAATCTACCTGAGGGCCTCGAGAGCGTCCGGGTAGAGCAGGAAGCCCGTGAAGACGCTGTCGTCCTCCGCGCCCGCGTACACCCCGTTCCAGTCCCGCGCCACCTCCAGCCACACCTGGTCCCCTGCACTGAGCTTCAGGATGGTCAGGAAGGAGGCCTGGTCGATCTCCTGCCCGTGGACGGTGTCCCTGGCCTTGGCCACCCTCCTGGTGCGCGCCACGAGGCCGACGCGGGCCGGCCGCCCGCGCACCGTCAGGTGGAAGGCGAAGACGTAGGTGCCGGGCACGGTGCAGTTGAACTTGCCGGTGGAAGGGTCGTAGTCCCGCTGCTCGTTGTACAGGACCCTGTCAAACCTGATGGGCACGTTGGGAGGAGGGAAGGGCTTGGACAGCCCGGCGCTGAAGGCCGACCTCGGGGCCTTGGTGGCGTCCCCGCGAGCGCCCTTGGCCCCGCGAGAGCCCTTCTTGCCCGGCGCCCCCCGGCCCCCCTTGCTGCCTGCCACCCCCTTGGGACCGGTGGGTCCCGTCATGCCAGCGGGGCCCAGGTCCCCTTTCTCACCCTTCGTGCCCCTCTCGCCCTTTTCTCCCTGTTTTCCATCCAGCCCCCGCATCCCCTCGGCCCCCGTGTCCCCTTTGCTCCCTTTTTCCCCCTTGGTGCCCCCTTCCCCTCTCTCTCCCTTCGCCCCTCTCCCCCCTGGCTCCCCACAATACCCCTTCTCCCCTGTGTCCCCCTTTTCCCCTTTGTCACCCTGTTCTCCCACGGCTCCTGGGTCTCCAGGATCCCCCCTGTCCCCCTTGGCTCCTTTGGTCCCGTTCTCACAAGTGTCCCCTTTGGACCCCTTTTGTCCCTTCAGCCCAGGGAAGCCGTAGCTGCCCTTATTGCCTTTGGCTCCAGCTTCACCTGGAACAGGGAAAAGCAGTGGGGAAAAGAAGATTAAAACCGACGGTGTTGGATTGTTTTGGAGGCAGAGAAGCATCACCAGCAGCAAAGGGAAAGGTCAGGGCAATATTCCGGGTTTCCCAGCCCATGTTACGTACCTTGCAGCCCAGGTTTGCCTGGATAACCAGGGTTTCCACTTGCTCCTCGCTCTCCTTGCTCCCCTTTTCCTCCTAGAACATTCCACCATTAATTAATTAATTAATTAATTGGTGCTGGTGTCTGCAGCCAGCAATCATTACACTGGGACCACTTCCATGTGTCTGATAAAATAGACACCAGCAATGTGTGTTTTCAAGAAACCTCTTCAAGAAACCTCAGCTGAATCTCACGCCCCAAGCACCATCTCATTCCAGTTCTGGATTTCTGCCTCACTGGGAGGCAGTTCTGTCATCTTCTCCATCTTGCCATTAAACAGCAGGAACTGCCTCCCTCACTCCAGGACTGCCAAAAGCCTTGTTCCAGAAGTGAATCAAGGCCCAAGAGACTGGCTGAACAGCTCAGCACTCTGCTGCTGGAACCCCTGTATCAGCTTTGCTGTGGGATTCTCCACCACCCAAGGCAGCCACAGGATCCTGGAGAGGTGTGTGGGGCAGGAATCAGCTGCTCCAAGCCTGAAATGAAGGGCAGGCTTTCCTCTTGGGCACTGCTGATGGATAATAACTGCTCTCCATGTAAGCTGAAATTATTTTGCCTGAGATACTTCAGTTGAAATGCAGCTTCTACGCCTGCTTCCATGGTGGCTTTTCCCTCTTATGTCCCTAATACAAAGCAAATTGAAAATAGATTTTAAACTGTTCAGAATGAGCATATCCATTGATATCTTTCAGAGCAGCTGTTCTTGCACCACCTGAACATACACCTGAGTTATTGCCCCTGCACTAATGTCACCTAAACCTCTCCAGGTGTCAATCCCTAACAGTACACTCCTTTTTTCTTGGAAAAATATGGTTTCTTTAAGTTTTGCAGTATTTGATGAGGACAACAGGATCTGCTTTACCTCTTTCTCCTTTGGAACCTTTTGGCCCTTGAGGACCCGGAGCTCCTGGCAGACCTGGCAGGCCATCATCTCCCTTGTCCCCCTTGGGACCTGAAACACAACCACATCGACAAAATCAGCTTAGCAACTCAAAGGTTTCACTTTATAAATAACATCTGCAGTAATTGCTGATCAACGTGGCACTGGGCAGTGAGTGGAAGGGGCTTCCATCACTCTGGGAAGAGCTGGATGTTCTATTTGACGTCCTACAACCAACACAAATCTTACAGTTTTCCATTTCACTCTTGGCCGTAGTAAAAGACTTTTTAAAACCAACTTTGAGCTGCCTCAGAGCCACAGGAGCTCAGACACTGATAAAACTTCAGAAATAATCTCCTTTGAATATCTGAGTGCATCTAAGGAGCTCCCAGAGCTTTGGAACTGCCCCTCTCCTTAAAGAGAATTAAGTCTGCAAATACAGAAGTGGCACCTGGCTGACAGTCCCTTGCTGCAGAAAGGATGGGTTGAAAGGCAAGCAAGCTGGCTCCAATCTTCCCTTCATTTTTACATCCACCTGGGAATCTTAGAGACTCCCAGTGAATGTCTGGGAGCAGATTATGGCAGCTTCAATCATCCCAAGGACTTTTCCATCAGCGCTCCAGAGACATAAGAAATCAAACTCCCCTTGTAGCCACTAAAACTTCCATCAGCCAATCCCTCCTGAGCCACAGTAAGTGAGAATCCCTGGAGTACACTGTATTAAATGAGAATTATTTCATGATTTTCCCACCTTTCTTCAGCTGAACAGTTTCTCTCTCCAATATTAAAGTGAACATTTTCAGACTAATGCACTGTTCATTCCAGCAGGATTAGAATGAGGTGCTCTGTAACGTGTATTTTAGTACCAGAAAGAAGTGACAAAGCGTGTTTTATGTAATATTTATTAAGAGCTGCCTCTTGTGAGAGGTGCTTTATTTATTTATTTTTAGACTCGAACACAAAATTATTCCTGTACTTAATTTCCTCTTTTCCAATGGGAAAAAAAAAAATTAGAAAAAAAGATAGGGGTTTTATTATAAACCTTCAGCAAAGATGCAAAACTGCTCCAAGGTGGTTTTGAGGCTCATAAAGCCATGGCTGGAGTGACTGTGAAAGGAAATCTGTGACTCCCAAGGGATCAGACACAGGGACAGAGAACTGCAGAGTGTGGCCACCTGCCAGCAGGGATGGGATAGAGCCAGCTCTGCATGAGTCCCATAAAAGGGTGATCCCATGGGATGGAGCTCCTTTTTGGGGCCTTCCCGCTCCTTTTGGTGGTTTGTAACTCCTGGGATGTGACCAGAACGCACTTTTTTGCTCTTCATTTGCACAAGCTGCGATCACATTCAGCATTTCAGAGAGTGATAAAATATGCTGAGCTGGAAGGGATCCCCAAGGATCATCCAGTCCAACCCTCAGCCCTGCACAGCCCCATCCCCAGAGTCCCACCCTGTGCCCCAGAGGATCATCCAAACCCTCCTGCAGCTCTGGCAGCCTTGGGGCTGTGCCCACTGCCCTGGGGAGCCTGTTCAGTGCCAACCACCCTCTGGGGGAAGAACCTTTCCCTGAGATCCACCCTGAGCCTGCCCTGACACAGCTCCAGCCATTCCCTGGGGGCTGTCCCTGGTCCCCCAAGAGCAGAGATGTTCTTGCCCCTCCATTTCTCACGAGGAAGCTGCACGAGATTGCTGGGAGGTCTCCTCCTCTCTCATCTGCTACACAAGCCTTGCCAAACCATTTCTTGAGGGAAAAACCCCTTGGTTTGGTGTCTGTGCCTCACTGAGGGCAGTGAGATGGTGATCACCAACCTGGGGGTCCCTGCTCCCCCGGCAGCCCCCGGGGCCCCGCGGAAGGGGGGCAGCAGTCGCAGCAGTTGAAGAAGAACTCGGCCGTGTCCAGGGTGTAGTTCTCGAAGGGGAAGATGGTGGTGGCCCCTCGGCTCGGGGTGGGTAACTCAGGTCCAGCAGGAGCCGCTGGGACGGGCATTTTCCCCGGGAGAAGGGTGGGAGGGGGGCGAGAGGCCACCGGCTGGGGGGGCTTCGGCTTCGTGTACTTGACAGCCGGGGTCACCTTCAGCCCCTCACACGAGGTCACAACCACCACCAGCAATGCCCAGAGAGGCCCCAGGGAGCTCCACATGCTGGCAGCTGTGGGAAAACACAAACACAGCCTTGGTCCCTGCAAAACACCCTCTACCTCCTCCCCACAGAGCCACGAGGCTGAGCCTGGAGATGGGAGGGTGGGGAGGCCCTGGCACAGCGCGCCCAGAGAAGCTGCCCCAGCCCTGGGAGTGGCCAAGATCAAATTGGGTTGGAAGGGACCTTAAAGTCCATCCAGTCCCACCTCCTGCCACGGGCAGGGACACCTTCCACCAGCCCAGGTGGCTCCAGCCTGGCCCTGGACACTTCCAAGGATGGGGCAGCCACAGCTTCTCTGGAGCACCCTGAGCCAGGGCCTCACAGGGAAGAATTTCTTCTTCTTCTTCTATCTACCTCAAATTTACCCTCTTTCAGTTTGAAGCCATTCCCCTTGTCCTATCACTCCATGCTCTCCTGAAAAGCTTCTCCCAAACTTTCCTATAAGCTCCCTGTAGGTCCTGGAAGGATACAAATAGAAACCAGTCATGATTTCAGAGTCCTACACGACTGCACACTACACAGTGCTTTGCTCTAAAAGAACAAAGGGAAGCAAAATGAAACAGAAGGTTTTCCAAAATGAAGTATTTAGGAATCGAAGCATCAAAGTACCAAATATTCCAAAAATTTCACCTTGATTTTTTTTCTGACTGATTTTTTTTTCCTGGACTTCCATAATTTCAGTGTAAACTGTCACATCTGTTCTTTTTGTCTCTAAAGGGTTGATTCAGCTGAACCGGGAAGAAAGGACAAAGGAAAAAGGACATTATTTTTTTTCCTATAGAACAGGTGATGCCTCTCAGGTGACTTGTCTTAAAAAGCATCTTTGTTTCTTTTTTAAAGCAGTGTCCCCAGCTGTAAATACAAACAGAACAGAGTCCCTTTCTTGCTGAACCTGTAACCCAACCTTCCCTACAGCCACAGCACTCCACTGCATGAGAAACTCTCCAGCAGGTATTCCAACTATCCCTGCCATCCAGAGGGCAAAAGGACATCCCACTCTAAGTCAGGCATTTGCAGGATTAGAATCTTTCCATCTTTAAGAATTCAGTTTTAGGGGAAAGTGTGGTGATTTCTTTTTTTTCCCCTGTTTTTACACAAACCCAATAATTCAGCGGAAAATTGAATATCCACGTAAAATCCCCAGTGCTCACCATTGCCATTCAACACATTCATCACCCCCTCAGCTCCAGGAGAGGGTAAATTATCCCTTCTCCTTCTGAACAATATACTCATGCAGGAGTGTCCTGCCACTGCTGGAGATGAGTAAAAAAAAAAAACAACAAAATTTCCACACAGAAAGAAGCAATGGCTTTAAAGATCAAGTAGCTTGGTGGGGAAGTGGTCAATCAGTTCTCAAATCCCAATCATTTCTGTGTTTCACTGTCACACACCACTTCTGCTGCAAAGCTCTAAAGCAGCCACGCTCCAGTTAAACAGCCAGATTGATGGATTGCTGTTAAATACTGGAAAAACAGAATTAATATCAAAATTACACCTTACCAGGCTGTTTAAAAAACAACACGCCCAGAGCGAGGAATCATTAAACAGAGTTTCCATTATAATGGGCAAGATTGTTCCTAAAGAATTATTCTTCATTTGTGGAAGGTGCCCCTGCCCATGGAAGAGGAGCTGGAATGAGATGACCTTTAAGGTCTCTTCCAACCCGTTCTGTGATTCTATAAAGAAGCATTTCAATGAAAGTGAAATGTTGGACTTTTTCTTCACATTAACTCATCGCCACTGAATTTAAAATCATTCATTTGAATCCCCCCAACTAGGAAAGATGGGGATTCACGGTGGACACAAAGCAGGAAGAATTAAACTTTGCTGCAGTGCCCCCTCACTCAGTACACCTGTATTTAATTGGATTTAAATATCTCCTAACTGTTTACATATGTCCCATAATAACATGGGAGTAATACACTTGTTCTTTTGTCTGCTCCCTAAAATTATAGTGTTTAGATATTGCAGTTCACAACAGCTATTTAACCCCAACCTGCCAGTTTTAAATATCAGGGAGATGATAGCTATTTAATTATTTCTAGTCCTCATGCAGCCATACATTCATCACAGCAAGTCATTTTTTCTGGGGGCAAAGTCTACTGCCACTATGCCTTAAATTCTACGAGTTCATTGCAAAGACCCCTCCTGAAGTCACACCAACCAGTGCATGCTCTCTCCTACCTTACACACGGTCCTGCTCCCAGGAAAACCCCCCCTCCATGGCACTTGGAACGAGACAATCTTATTTTGGGAGAGGATCACTTTTATTTGGGTAACAGCTGCTCCCGTGGCCAATAAGAGCCAGCACAGGAGAGAAGAGGGAGGGTTGGCAAAGTCCCCCCTGAAAGGAGCAAGGTGACACTGATACCTTGAGGGCTTCAAAGAGTCCAGGGGAAAAGAGTGAAAGCCAAAGCAGCACAGACAAGAAGCCAGTTTTGTAATAACATGTCATTTTAAGTGTTAATGCTCAAGCAGGCAAACTGCAAAAGGGAATATTCACCCAGAAGAGGGTAAAATGGAATTGAATCGTACTTGAGCTGAGTAAAAAGTGTTCAAAGGAAATTAATGTTCCTGTGTGGAATCACAATTCACACTTGTCCAACACTTCTCACATATTTCCCACAATTTAGCAGCCTCCTGGAAGAGCCTCTCCCACCCCCCCCCCAATAACCTGATTTTCTGAAACACTGCAGTGTGTTCTGGTTCTCTTTGTCCATTACCACAAAACAACTGAGCCCAACGGGAAACAGACTGAAATGAAAATTCTCTGCTGTGCTGTTGATTAGGGGAGGGAGTATTTCTATAGGAGACAGTGGAATAGGTAATTAATCAATACAAGGTGTATTTCCATTTTCTTCCCATTTTCCCCTCTTAGTCCTCACTGCCCAGGGCCTCCTTGTTTTCCTCCTTTCCCACTGTTAATCACTCTTAACCACTGTTTTAAACCATCCTGATTTAACCACAAAAGGGTTAGAATTGTTAAAATCCATTTATTAAAGGTAACTTTGGATTAATTTGTTTGTAATTAATTTGCCTGTGATTTTTTTCTGATGGCCAAATTATGAACTAAATGCTTAAGAGAAATAAAACCTAAAAATGAAAGAGAAACATCTTTGGATTTTGCCATTATAGTTGTTCTGTTTTCAGCTCAAATTTGGGGGAGGGGGAGTCCATTTGTGATGAGAGCTTTAAATACTGTGTGGTGTAAAAATTAAACAAGTCATTTATGTAAGGAAAGGAGACATTCCTTCTGTAGGGTTTTAAATGCTTGACTTCAGAAAAATACTGCCATGAGGATTTCCAGTGGATGCAAAGGAATGAAATGATCTCCCTGGAAAATCGGTATCATTACATTTAGTGCTGTTATGATTCAGATATCGAGGGGGAAATGAGATGGGAAAAACCCTGCATCAGTCTGTGCCTGTGATCCCACAAACCCTCCACCATATGTTGCTTCAAATTCCCCAAAATCTGCAGGATGGCAGCACAGTAGATATTTATTGCCCTTTAAAGCGTGACAGCCAGAAAGCTCCAAAAGCTCCCATTCCCCAAAAATACCCATTTAGGGAGCTATTTAAGGACTGTGAGAACTTCGTGGCACCCATTCCATCTATGGAGTCAGTCATTTCGGGAGCCCCTAAATGCACATTTAAAACACCACCAGCATGGAGGGATTGATGTGAGAGCCCAGAACTCCAGCAGGTGAGCTGTGGGCTGAACTCCCCACTGGGGCTGGGTTTTGAAGCCTGTTTGGAGTGTAAAACAGATTCCCTGGGGTGTCACCCACCCCAAGCCCCGCTCCAGGAGCTCCTTTGTCAGGACCTGCAGCTGCCTCTGCTCTGGGCTAAGAAACACCTCCTTTGTGCTCCCCTGGAAACTCGACACAGTCAAAGGTAAAAAGTGATACAATTACCTGGCTCTCCTTTTTCACCCTGGTCTCCCTTTGTGTGCCAGGTCAGGGATGTCACGGAAAGGCGGCTGTGCTGGGAATGCTGCTTGCCTCGTGTGTTTGGGAAACAAAACATCCTCAATAGCCCTGCCTTTGCTCATAGCCAGGGCTGGCTGGGATTGTTTCCCTCCTTGTCTCCAGTACCAGCTTTCAGGGAAGGCTTTGCACAAAGAAATACCTGTATTTCTGATTTCTGAGTCGGACTGTGCCCCTGCCAGTACTGAGCTGTAAATGTAGGAACAGCACTGGCTGAAATATGGAATGGTGAGCTCAGGGATGGACTCAGCACTTCCCCAGCCCTCAGCTACACTACCAAGCTTTTAATTATTACAAATCATTATTTTAACACTGGGAAATCCATTCTCCACATGTTAATAAGCATCTCATGAGCCAAAGGACTTCAAGATCTCCACAACAGCAGATTTAACTCCCAGAGAATCTTGCCCTGCTCCACAGTGTGGACACAGGTGGCACAGACTCCTTTGCAGGGCTATTTACATCAGGAACTGCTGCAACACTCCTTGGAAATAAGGAAATGGAAATATCTATTTGCCTTTGACCCAAATTCTTCGTGGCTCTGACAAATACACACTTTGTAACACAGCAAAGTTACAGCACAGGTCACACAGTACCTTAAAATCACGGCAGGAAGGAAAAAATCTGGGAACAAAATCACCTGAGTGTGTGCTGGACTCAAAATGTTGGGGAGTTTATAATATTTACAGAATTAAAAAGTGAAGGATAAGGAGAGAATATTTATTTTTGACATACAAAATACCTGCAAGGGGCTTTGGATCAACACTAAAGTCAGGGGAAAGACTCCCACTGATTTCTTTGGAATAGATGCCTAATACTCTGCACCTCCTCTGCACCTCACCCAGAAGCAGAGGCAGCAGAATATCTCCAAAAGAATAAACAGGGGAATGAATAATAATAATAAAAAATTATAATTATAAATAAATTTTAAAATACATTGTATTTTTTAGGCCTTCTGAGTAGAATCACAGAATATCCTGGGTTGGAAGGGACACAAGAGGTTCCAGAAAATG